TGATTAAAAACTATCACAGCCATAATTCTACTCTGGTATTAAAAGAAAGCCTTAATACTCCATTCTTAACCTGTTGAGTTTAAGCAGTCGAATGCTTTAAGAGGTAAGTTCTCATGATCTGTGAAATTAGACTGACATGAAGAATTATTTTCCAAATATCAAACACAGGTTCTCAACAGCTTTTGACTGCTCAAGAGCCCTGAGAACAAGGCACTGGCCACACATGCAGGGCTGAAACCTGACTCAAACTGGACAGAGTCCCACTTTTATGGCAACCTTAAAAGAAAAAAAAAGTTATTTTTTTAAAACTGTATTTGAGTAGAAAAGTCTCTGTCTGCCATGATCCAATTTCACTGCTCACTATTTCCCTGCAGCAGTGATCAGGGGCAAACCAGTACAGGTTTCTTCTAAGTTAATGCCTTTACCTGGTGCACAAGATAAAAAATAAATTCAAAGAGAGTAAGAGACTAAGCAGGTGACTCAGGAAGGAATGGAATTTCCATGATTATTTAATAAAAACGCATCTTGTGTTTACAGATAGTTTCTGCTATTAATTTGGTACATTTCTCTCCCCCTATGCTTGCTTCTAAAGAAAGCTACTGTAGCACTGCTCACAATCCTGCTTGGAAAACCCAAAACAAGACAGCTTTAGAATCGCTGCACAAGATCATATTTGATCATCGCTGCGCAGCGAGGACAGACATCAGCTATTCATCCCGCAAAGGCAGCCTGCAGGGGGGTGCTGGGCTGAGCAAATGCACCAGCTTTCAGCTCAGCTGCCAAACAAGAGCATTCAAAAAGACAAAGTCTGCATAAACCATCCTTTTGTTCCCCTTCTCCAAAATCTAAGATTGGTTAAAACTCTGTTTGGGGTGCTTGTATTAAAAAGCACAAAGAGCCAAACCCTGTGTGGCTGGGGGAGAAGGAATAGAATCACAGGATGGTTTGGGTTGGAAGGGACCTTAAAGACCATCCAGTTCCACCCCCCTGCCCTGGGCAGGGACACCTCCCACCAGACCAGGTTGCTCCAAGCCCCCTCCAACCTGGCCTTGAACCCCTCCAGGGATGGGGCAGCCACAGCTTCTCTGGCCAACCTGGGCCAGGCTCTCACCACCCTCACAGGCAACAATTTCTTTCTAGTATTTAATCTAAATCTCCCCTCTTTCAATTTCAAACCATTACCATTAGGAGACAGAGGAGGTGGCAGTGAGTGGAGCTCTCCAGTAGAGTCAACATGCTAATGGTGAAGGCACTCACATACGTAGTAAAAGATATTAAATTTCTTTATATCTGCAAGGAGTGGTGATCCTGCCTCTCTTGCCATGACACAGGGTGTCATTTCCCCCGAATCTCTCCACCAAGCCTATTCCGAGTCATTAATAAATACTCAAATAAAAAAGTCCATGCAAGTAATCCCAGTGAGATACAGCTAAAGTAAATTATCACCCTTGTTTTCCAAGTCCCTTCAGGACACCAACATCTACAAACGTATATAACCTAAGCACTGGACGTTCTGGCTAACCAAAACAGGCCAGTCTTAGGGTATCCCAAGTACTTCCTGAAAATATCATGGACTGCAGGAACACGTGCTTTGCACAGCTGAGGATGAGAACTTGTTATCAAAACGGGCCTGAAACAAACGAGACTACAAGGCCCTGCTGAAAAGCTGCAGGTTCACCGATGGGTCGGGCTGGCGTGAAAACCCATCCTGGGAAACACCTAACTGTGCTACTGGAGTTTACCTGGGATGGGTCACTTCCCAGTGCCCGAGATTAAATTCCTTTTACAGCTTCTAGCAGCACTTTTAATTTTCTGCTCTAAGACACCAGTCAACTGGATGTTTCTGTGTTAACCACACACACACACAAATAAGGTCTATTTCAGCACGACCCTGCAGATGCATAAACAAATATACATCATTTTTAAACACTGCTTTGAGACTTTCATGTATATAACCAAGGAGGGCAAACAGAAATCTTGCCAGGAAAGCCAAATTAAAACCTTGCTCTTGTAGACATCGTCTTGGCAGTGTTAAAGGATACGATGCTGAGGATGCATCACTGCATCACTGAATTTCACTGAATTTCACTGAATTTTTAGAGTTGGAAGGGACCATAGAGATCATCTAGTCCAACTCCCCTGTTTGACAGAGAGTAGGGACAAAAAACCCCCATACTGCCAGCATATTATCAAGTTCCAGTGAGTTCCCAATCTTCATCTTCACAGCCTCTGTCAAAAGACAGTAATTTAAGATAGCTTGATACGACGCTTTGAGAGATTAATTATTCCCATTAGATTAGAATTGGCTTAACTGTAATACCCTCTATTAAAAAGAAAAAACAAAAAAAGCTTTCCCAGCACAGATGAGACAACCAACGTGTTAGGATTGTAATGGAAATTCTATTTCCAAGGCTGGCAGACCCAAACTTGGATCTTCTTGCACACACTGTGAATAGATAAGAAAATTGTTTCTTTACAGATGGTTTCTCCCCCACCCTGAAATGCATTTTGGGAAAAAAAAAATTATTAATACAACATCACCAATCCAGCACTTAAGAGCAACCCTACAATCAACCATTGTGTGCCACGTGACAGATGAGAAAAAAAAACAACCCACAAACACTCAGAAAACACATTTCAGTTTTAAGCTCCCATAGTAGTAATGAAAAGCAAAGTGGGCAGGAGATTTTTAGAAAGGCCTTAAATATTCTTCTGTAACCTAATAGTGAAGACAAATATTTGCTTAACCTCCGCCTTCAACATCCAAAAAACAACCAATTACTCTAAAAGCTACCAAATGCCCCAAGAAGAATTTGAGGTATGAACCACCACCACCAAAAAGCATCTGAGGAAGAGGCAGATCTCCTGCCGTCAGCAAGGCTGCCTCCTTTAGACATCCTAAAAACAACTGTGCTGGAGACGCTGGTGACTCATTAATAGCAACGGAGCAGAGAAACCACTTGAAGAGGTGAGAGGAAAATTCCATTTTAATTTAAGAGCGCTCTCTAGCAAACCTTGCTCCAGCTCTGCAATATTACAACAATCGGATATTCACTAAGAAATGCATTTTATAAACACTACTGACAGTCCTCAGCAGGCACAAGATGTGCCATCTGTGCTAAGAAGACACCGTGGACCAAGAAAAATAAAAGTACAATGTTTATACATTACGTCCTTAAATGAAAAAAAGGTTTAGACTTTTAAAATGAACATCAATTGCTTTAAAAATGAAGTTTGCTTTGCATATTTGTCATAACAGCCAGTGCCATCCAGCTCAGCGTTCCCTCGGTACAGTTCCTCCCTGTTGCAGGGCTTTGTAAAAACAAAGAGCAAAGCAATGACCTAGAAACAAATGCCGGCTCTCAAACTACTTTAAACTCATTAACTTTATACTCGTTTCAGACTCATAACAACGTCTAAAAAGACTGCCAAATACTTGGATTTAAATTTGCCAGGTTGCACGATGAGAAGGTTTGGGTTTATTCCTCTCTGAAAGGGTTTCAGGAATAGAAGGCACATTTTTTCATAACCCAAAGAATGGAGGGGGGAGGGCAGGGTTGTGGATTTTTATTTTTTTTTTTTAAGGGGATATGTTTACATGGCAGAGAGCAGAGCCATGCATTCAAACCAGCTCCGGAACCGGAAGCTGTATGACATGTCAGCACAGCTCTCCACTAATTACCAGGATAACGAGAAGCAGAATTATTTCTTTTTCCCCAGAGAGCAAAGGGATGACACAAAAATACTTCTCTGCAACATAACCAGTTACTTCTCGTCATGCTGTCCTCCCTGCACAGGCATACTCAAAGAAGCTCAAGGTACGCTGACTTTTGGATTTATGAAACCTGAAATGTCTTTTTAAAGGATTTAGTGCTAGATTCTCTAGCCAAGAAGCCGAGTGATCTGTGCACAGCGCTCTAGGAGAGGGGAAAAAAATATATATAAAAAGAAAAAAGGAAGGTAAATACACACCATGAAAACTCTTAAAAATAACTCCCCCAGGCCATAAGTAACCATTTCAAAGGGGTGGCGGGAACAAGATCCATCTATAAAACTTCAATTTGAACATTAGCAAAGAGCCCTCCCCCAGCGTGAGCAATTACTGCCGCCTTTCATGTGGCAGAGTAACACACCTTTTCTCCTACAGTTGGCTGTGTCAGGTCTATTTTAAACACACTCAACAGCATCACAAAGTAAAACATCACAGCCACTCTTCCCATGCGGCTCAAGATGCAGATTGCCAAACGCAGGCCGAAAATTTTAAGGCTTCTTTTATAATCAACCCAAGCCCTAAAGCTGCCGAGCATCCCCCAGGCTTGGGGAAGGGGCTCCCAGGGCCGCACACCGAGAGGAACGCGCCATGCCTGTGCTGCTGAGGGACATGGTTTAGTGGTGTTTTTGGCAGTGTTAAAGGTTGCCGGTTGGATGTGATGATCTTAAAGGTCATTCCCAACCTAAATGGTTCCATAATTCCATGCTTGTGCCATTCTGTGCCCCCACGGCCACGGTTCTGGTGATATGAGCACCAGCCTGCATCGTTTCGGAAGCATCTCCTGGACCTGCAGCACTAACTGTACCACCAGCTGCAGCTCCGTTCTGGCTTCTGCAGGGCTTTAATCTGCTTCTGCCTTTTGCAGGCTATTATTAACCTCAGGGATAAACTTGCACCCTTTTAATCAGGTGCTTTAACCGATGCGTTCTGGAAACAGGTACGGCAAATCGACGCTCTCTACCTTCCCCAGCAGTAACGTGGAAAGGGACCATCCACCAACTCAAACCTCTAAGAAACGAGCGAGGGGGCTGGAAAGACAGACCCTTCACCAACACTGCCAAAAAAACCACCTTTTAAATAGAAGCCTTAGACGGGGCCGGCACCCTCATGCCTCGCCAGGGCTGCCACCCCCCCACACCCCAAAAGGTTTCCAGGAGCCACCGTCTCCCAGCCGCCCCCCTTGTCCCCCCCCACCTCTACCCGAGGGGACCCCCGGAGCGGGGCTCACCTTGTAGACATCGCCGTAGGTGCCGCTCCCCACCCGCTGGATCAGCTCGTAGTCCTGCTGCGGGTTCCGCCTCAGGATATCCCCGCTCGGCCGCACCGCCAGCTCCATCTCCGGCCCCCCGCCGAAGGAAGGGCAGCACCGGCCGCTCGCCTCCTCCTCCTCCCCCCGCCGCTGCCCGGGGATGCTCCTAACGCGGCAGCCGGCCCATGGCTCCTGCGGCGGAAAGCGCCCGCTGAGGGGAGGGCTCCCGGGGCGGCCTCCGGGCCGCGGCCGCCCAGACAAAGGCGGAGGGGCAGCCGGCGGTTGCCACGGCCGTTGGCGGCCCGGCGGCGGGGGACCGAGCGCCCGGGGCTCCCCTAGGCAACGAGGAAAGGCCGAACCCGGCGGGGAACAACCGCCCCGGGCGCTGTGGGGAGGGAGGTCCCGTCCCGCCGGCGCTGAGGAGGCGCCGAGGCCCGCCCGCCGCCGGCCGGGGGCAGCCGCCAGCCCGCCCGCAGCCAGGCCCGCAGCAAGGCCGGGCCGGCTCCTACCTGAGCGCCCACAGCCCTTTGTCCCGCTGGAGAGGGAGCGCCGCCGACCGCTGCCTCCTCCTCCTCCCGCCGCGGCCCCGCGCTCCTCCCCGGCTCCGCCGCGGCCCCGGCCCCCCACGCACGCACCGCCCGGCCGAGCCGGGACGGGTCGGGTCGGGACGGGACGGCAGCGGGGCCTTCGCGACGCCGCAGCGCCACGGCGCGGCCGAAAGCACCGGTACCGCCGCGGCCCTTCCTCCCCCTCCCGTTCTCTCCCCGCCCGCCGCCCTCCCTCCGCCCCTCAGCCGCCGGCCGAACGGCCCCGGGCCCGCAGGCCGCTCTGCCACGGCGCCGGGACTGCCCGTGGGCCCTGTAGCGGGGAAGGGGGTGTCTGTGTGCCCGGGGGTGCGGGTGGGCCCCGGCGGGGCTGGAGGCCCCACTGCCCGCACTGGAGGTGCCCACTGTGACCCTCCGCTGACAGGGAGCCACGGGGCTCATGGAATGATCGGGAATGGTTTGGGTGGGAAGGGACCTTAAAGATCATCCAGTTCCAACCCCCTGCCCTGGGCAGGGACACCTCCCACCACACCAGGTTGCTCCAAGCCTCCTCCAACCTGGCCTTGAACCCCTCCAGGGATGGGGCAGCCACAGCTTCTCTGGCCAACCTGGGCCAGCACCTCACCACCCTCACAGCAAAGAAGTTCTTCCCCAGATCTCATCTCAATCTCCCCTCTTCCAGCTTAAAACCCTTCCCCCTTGTCCTGTGGCTCCCCTCCCTGATCCAGAGTCCCTCCCCATCTCTCCTGGAGCCCCTTGAGGGACTGGAAGGGGCTCTAAGGTCTCCCTGGAGCCTTTTCTTCTCCAGACTGACCCCCCCCAACTCTCGCAGCCTGTCCTCCCAGCAGAGGGGCTCCAGCCCTCCCAGCATCTCCGGGGCCTCCTCTAGACCCACTTCAACAGGTCCTTGTCTCTCACAAGTGTGGGGGCTGGCATGGTGTTTCACCCGTGCCCCTTGGGTTGGGGCAGGAGGGCAGCCCCCAGCTTGCCTACACCACATATATATTATATTTATATACATAGGTATGCTTCTAAAAAAAACACCATGTTGAGACTGGACCAGAGCTGTTCCTTCATGTACGTCCTGCTAGGGGTTATCAACACTGCCATGGCAGAACCCCAGAGAGGCTCTGAGGTGTGAGAAGAGGAGGAGGAAGAAGAGGAGGAAGATGAGGATGTACCAGGTGGAGGGAAAAAGGATGCAGACCGGGTGGGACTCCCTGGGTTGGTGAGTCTCATCCTGTGCAATCTGCATTGCAACCTTGCAGCCGCATCACGTAATCCTGTTTGTGGGCTAATCAAGCACCCTGGTATTTAGCTTTGTGGGCAGCCGGCGCAATGGCAGTCACATGAGAATTAATTGGGACTTGTTGGGACTCGTCTCCTTGGGCTCTCAAAGTCAAAAAAGCTCCTGCGAAACTGCAAGATGGAAAAGTATTCCCTATCTGCCTTTCCCACTTTGGAGAACAATTATTTTCAGGAAGGCAGTTGAAATTCCGAGTGAAACTCACCTACAGCCTCTCCAAGGAGTGCTAAATGATTTAAGAAACCCAAAGGTGGGGACACGGAGTAGAGGAATGCTGGAATTAGCAGCAGCATTCGCTGCACCGAAAACCATTCAGACCTAAAAGGAGGTGTGATTTTTCTCAGTGCAAAAAAAAAAAAAATACCACATACTCAGCACAGGAAATATGTTTGCAAAAGTTAGGTAGGAAAAAAAAATTAAATGGATGCCAGATGTACAAGTCTCTTTGGTGCTCAGGGCTCTGGATTGGTTATTTGAGAAGAAATTCTGCCTCTTTGGCAGTCACGCAGCCCACGCAGGTCCAATATAATCTAGTGACCAGGTAGCTGGGTACCGATTCCGGGTGTAAAATGGAGTCTGGGTTTGAAGATTACTCCAGCACATTTAGAAATCCCTCGTGCGAGCACCTGAAACAGCGCTGCCGATTGCATAAGCTTTGCCTTCAAACTGCAGGCTCCGAAGCGTTACTCATTAGCACTGGTGTGTTGCTTTAGGTTAAACTCAAGGATAATGTATGCGGACACCTGGGGATCCCACGGTGGCATTTGATTTTACTGTTGTTTTTTTTTTATGGGCTTATTCAGAAACAGACACCAAAATGTAAATTGTTCTGCTTCCAGAGAGACAGGGCAGCACGGGACTGCTAACCTAAAGAGATTCGCCTTTGATTTCCCCTTGTACTCTGAAAGCCTTCTACATCCTGTATATTCTCTCCAACATAAATACGTAAGTTTTCCTGAACACCCAGCAAATAACAGAAGGAACTATTTACCCTTTAGGGAGCTGTATTTCCTCCAGCGATTTTTTTTTAACAAAACAATTACCTCTCCCCCCATAAATTAGCTTCCTGCGCTCCTGATAGCGAGCTGTTTGCGTCCTTTTTCTTTTCTCGGCCTCGGCTGAGGGTTCAAATGCTGCTTTTCCCTCTGCCAATTTGCTGCTCCTGACAAGCCATCAGATGACAGCGGAGGAAAAGAGGCCATTTCATTTTCCAGTAGCAGATGGTGTGTTAAGACTTGGCCTCCTAGAATGTCTTACAGACCCAAGGGCCGTCCGACGGCCGCAATTTAACGCAAAGGCTCCTTTATTGTCTTTTGTCCTTACTGGGTTACGCTTCACGTCCCAGCTGGAGGTGTCGTTGCCCAGGTTGCTGATCTCAGAGCCCACCTGGTGATCCGAGCTTAAGTCCACCTTCCCCAGCTGCGTCTCGGTCCCTGCTGGAAGCACTAGTGGAACAGTCTCAGAGCCCACCTGGTGATCCGAGCCTTAGTTCACCTTCCCCAGCTGGGTCTCGGTCCCTGCTGGAAGCACTAGTGGAAAATGTACATAAATAATAATAGCAGCAGCAGGACTGTCTTACTATTGCCATTTCAAAATGGGGCTAAATGAGTTGTGCAAGGCATACGGTGCCAGAATCCATACCCTGCCGGGTGTATACTCTTGAACACACGCCGGCTCCTACCCTGTATTTTCCACCCTCGACCACGTTGCTTTTCTGGTCAAGCGTGCTAAGGAATGTGCTTTTATGCAGCATCTCTCGTCTGGATGGGTCCCAGCCTTAAAAAGAATGTTAAGTGGTTTTACATAAGGCATTACGTAGGATTAGAGAATGCGATCTGTTTGCATTGTAGTCTTAAGAGGAAGAACAGCCAAGGTTACTCTAATGAGACACCGAGATTTATCTGGTAACGGTAGATTTAAAACTACAGAAGTTTCTAACTGAACGATATAATAAAGGTGGTTTTGAAAGCAGCGTGTGGGAACGCATGTTCGTTGTCAAATAAGAAGCTCTGAGCTCTGAAACAGCAGCACGAAGTGAAAATACCTCGGCCCCAGTTTTCATCAGATTGCTAAAACAGAGTTTTAATTTCACAGAGTCTGATGACCTCACAGGGCTGAGATTCACAATTATTCCGCGGGATGGCTTCGTGTTTGCAGGGTGTTGGAATAATAAAATAGACGAGCTGCACGACAACGCCGAGGCCGAAGACTCCTGAATCAACTCGAGAGCTTGCAGCTTTTCCTGCTCATCGATTCCTGTATTTTACCTCAAAGTCACTTTGAGGGACTTGAGTCACTGCTGGGGAGACCAAGCAGGCTCTCAAAAAATGCTACAGCATCTTCCCCATGAGTGGAGATGCTGCTTTTTTTCCCGTAAGTGTGTGGTTTGGATTTTTCAGGCTGGTTTTCCTCCCTGATGAAACACACACTGTTGCTACACCCCGTCTCCCCATGGCCACGAGCAAGGGCTCTGCAGAGGAGTTATTTCCAGGCTCTCCGTGGGCATCTTCCCACCACTGAGTCCAGTTCTGCCCATGACAGCCAGGATGCTGAACCTACTAAAGCTTCTTGGTGTCACCTCGGCAGCTCTCAGTGCTCTTATTGCCACTTTACCTGCCTGCCAAGCTCTGCTAGTGGGACCCAGAGTAAGAGGGACAGGGCAGGTTTTGCAGAGGCCATAACAGTCTCTCTTGCTGCTGGAATGGCCCTTTGGGGCAGCTGGGGTGGCACATGGGGACCACCACAAACGATGTCTGGAAAAAAATAAAGAGCTTGGGAAAGGGGACTCTGAAGGGGAACAAGCTATTTCTGTCACAGGAGAAGAAAGAGGGAGAGATGTTGGCAAGGAGGATGTGAGGTACACACCTAAGGGAGTAGCTGTGGGCAAAAGAAGAAGGAGGAGATGGCATCAAGGGCTCTTAGATGCTTCTATGTCCAGTACAGGAACATACTTGAGAAGTTCAGCTCTGCTGTGAGGACAGGCTGAGAGAGTTGGGGGGATTCAGCCTGGAGAAGAGAAGGCTCCGGGGAGACCTTGGAGCCCCTTCCAGTCCCTCAAGGGGCTCCAGGAGAGATGGGGAGGGACTCTGGATCAGGTAGGGGAGCCATAGACAAGAGATAATGGTTTTAAACTAAAAGAGGGGAGATTTAGATGAAATATTAGGAAGAAATTTTTTATGCTGAGGGTGGTGAGACCCTGGCCCAGGTTGCCCAGAGAGGTGGGAGATGCCCCATCCCTGGAGGGATTCAAGGCCAGGTTGGATGGGGCTCTGAGCAACCTGGTCTAGTTGAAGATGTCCCTGCCCAGGGGGTTGGATTAGATGGTCTTTAAAGGTTCCTTCCAACCCAAACCATTCTATGACTCTATGAAGAAAGCATCTGTCTCCCATAGGCTGAGGATCTCCCTGGGGGTTGTTGCTGAGATGCTCTGGGAAGAGAGACAAGACACTAAGGGAAAGCAAAGCCTTTTCAAGCTATCAGGAGACTTCTGTTCCTCCCAGGAGCAGGAGACTCAAATAAGACATAGCTCAGACCCTGACGCCAGCTTTCGCCGAGGCCCTTGTGCACCGATTTGTTTTCCACGGAAGG